GCTTGTGTGTTGCCAATTGTTCAAATATTTACCAAGAAAGCAAGAGTATCTTTTAATAAATTGGTAGATCTCAGTGCACTGCACCAACGCAAGCCTTTTAAAAATATAACCTAAATGGCTAAGGAAGTGCAGGGAATCTAAGAAGTATAGGGAAGTGTAGGAAGCATTTTCCTCTATTTACTCTTTCCCAAAGCCTGTTTTCTTATAATCTATATCATGGACTAAAATCAGGCTCCCTCTGGGATTAAAACACAATTATTAAGGGAAAAAAAGGCGTGTTTCAAAGTTTGGGTTGCAAGATTGTCTGCCCCAGACAGACCTTACTTGAGCTTGAACATGGCTAAATGGAAATAATTAAACTTGATTAAATAAAAACCTGTTTATTATGGGAATATGATCTCAAGAAAGGATGCTTTTCATATAGGATTTCATAATAAAATGTACTATTAGGACATTGAGGAATTAAGACGATGTTTACTGGATATTTCTTGGCCTGAAGATTAGGTCCACAGTATCATAGCATCACATGCTGAGTACAGAGCTACACAGTAATGTAGCATTTCAGGGACACTTGTGGGATTTGGGCCACCTGGATAGCCCAATGGATACCAGTGATATTCATGGGGACACAGGATTGCTGGACTTATACTGGGTTTTAGAAACCATTCATTACCTTCTTACTCCCTAAAGAATCATGGCTCCGTGAGCACAATCAGAAGCAAAGAACACAGTGGTGATTTCTATAGAGCATGACTCTTTAACAAGCTAACCTTCATGGCAACCACAAAAATGAAATTACCTTCCTGTAGACAGAAACACAGTTTCTCAAACCTCTTAAGCACCAAGATCATAAAATGATGATGCCCCTCTTCTTCCCAGCAGATTCTGGTTTTCAGGAGAGCTACACACTAGAGGTCCATTCCATTGACTGTGTGGGTATGATGACTGGAAGTGGTCATTCACAATGGTTGAATGGCCTTCAGGGAATTGGCCTACAGAGGGCGCTCTATCAACAGAGTCGTGGCAGACATTCTTCCATGACACTTGTCAGGAAGAACCTATTTCATTCCTTCTTAGTCACAGTGAAAACCAAGACTACAGTGACACAACTGAAACTCCTTGCCTTTCAAATCTTGGCACCTTTCCTGATACCTACTCCTACATTCCAGATACTCGGGATGAATTCAATCCTCTGGTCAGAATTTGATATAGCACTCCAAAAAATTCTAATCCTGTTGGGAAAGATAGCAAAGAAGGCTTGGGATTTCTTCAACAGGGCTTCTGCATTAAAGAACAACCCCAACTAATAAAATGCAAATGAAAGAACCAACCACAGTGAGGATATGAGCACAATACTGGGATGCATTTGATAGCCTTTGGAGAATGGGCACTGGTGGAGGGATGGGTATGACTGAAACGTGAGCACGAAAGTTTGTAAGTCTATAACTGTATCTCACAAAGATTTAGTAAAAAATAAAAAATTTAAAAAAAAGTTTACTAGCCCAGAAAAAAAAACTGCTACAGTTTTACTACTTGCTACTAACAAGGCAGTTCTCAAGCTGCTCAAAATTGATTCATTCACTCATACCCTTAGGTCACTCACCCCAAAAACAATAAATAGTGCTTATATAAGTAAATATTCATTTCACTCAAGTCCATTCCTTAAGACTGCACATGTTAGGGTGAATAGGCAATCTTTTGCAGGAAAGTGGTCTTAAAGAATAAATATAAAAACACAGTCTTTAGGGTTTGGGTGCAAACTAACTCTTTCAGAGACTGGGTAGAGCTTATCAAAAACATAAGAGTCCTCAGGGCCAAAGAAATAGTACGGCAAGTAAGGCATCTGCCTTGCACATGGCCAACCTGGGTTTGATCGGTCCCCAGCATCCTATACGGTCCCCCAAGCACTTCCAGGAGTGCGGAGCTAGGAGTAACCCCTGAGCATTGCTGGGTGTGGGCCCGCCCCCCCAAAAAATATCCCACAAACTTAGGTACTTTCTATGATTAACAGGTTTTACAGTAATATCTCATCCAGCAACAGAATCCAGTGAGCTATCAAACTGAACTCTTCCACAGACATATGAGACAATATATACTTAAGAAGGAAAAAAAAAAGACCGGGATTTTCTTTCCTAAATAACAGATCAGAAATATTCATAAAGTGCACGAATCCACTGAGAAGGAATAATGAAAAATAGCACGGTTTCACGTCAAGCCTACTTCCTTTTTAAAGCTACACTGTCTGTGGACTGCGTTTGAATTGCACAGACCCAGTTATGTCACAGAGCAACGGGGGTAAGATTCAAGTCCTTCCAGAGCAGCCTCACCATTTCCCTCATGGAATATGCCCGCTGAAGCAGAGTCCATGACTGGAGGGAAGTGGGAGAGAGAGCAGGAGTTCTGAGAGTTGGAGACTAAGGTCGGGTTTAGGAGTCCTGCACCCAGGTAATTCGTACTGCATAAAGCAAGTCTGCTGAAACGGGGCTGGGTGTCTGCAGGGAACAAAGGGAACTGAACACGCCAATCATCGCAATCATCTTTGGTTAAAAATGAGCAGTCTGCGATCTGAAAATCCCATGCAGTGGGCTTACCTGTGGCTGTATATAGTAAATATATTTAAGCCTTCTGTATGCGGGAAAACTTCTGTAACAAAAAGCTGGGGGAAATGAACACTTGAAGCGTTTTTTCCTTTCTTAAAAGTGCTATTTCTCAACAGAGTAGCACAAGACAAACTGGAGACATTTTAGAACCCAGCCACTCTGTGCAGAGAATTCCAGTCTTTTTCCTACCATAAACCAATATTCTTTTTAAAAAAAAAAAAAACAAAACAAAACAGGGGGCACAAAGGTTCAGAGAGAGGGACACACAGTGCCAGGGACCAAACTCAAGGCCTCTTACATGCTCTGCATGTGCTCTACCACTTGAGTCACATCCTCAGCCCTGTAACACTTTCTTTTGAGTTCTGTCCCTTTACTTGTACTCTCAAGATCATGGGTGAGGGTGAAAGCACGTGATTTCTATTCCATTTTCATTCCCAGTGTGGACAGGGAGAGACTAAGGGAATGACTTGCCTCTGAGGATTTTTGCTGGACTGTCTCAGGAATCACCTGTACTTCAGTCTAAAATTCAGTGATTTCAGAAACTGCATATGAGAATGGTGAGTGGACTAGAGAATGAAAAGATCTTTTAGCTCTTTGGTAGTCATGGACAGGGCGTCCCTGACAGTGAGGGAAATGGTGGCCCAGAGAAGCAATGTCCAGAGCTTCAACAATGAGCAGGCAGTGAGAGGCACCCGGGCTCCCCCCACCCCCCGCGACAGAACTAGGAGTCCAGAGGAAACAGGGACAGCAAATTTCATGGCGACAATCCCTAGAGAATCCCTAGGATGCTGGGAGAAGCATCCTCCCCGAGAACTGGGGCTCTATCTAAGAGCTTCCATTTTAAGATGAAAAAGCGAGAGGTTACTAATGAGCAGGAAAAAGAGACCAGGCATCAGCCGGCTGGAGAGCCTGGTAGAAAACCTTTTCCTGAGGGTTCTATTCAATTCGCTAAGGCAGGATCCAACACTGGTGGTCCCGCAGCTGTCTGCTGGGATGACGTGGCCATGTGTGCTCGCCACCGCCCCACAGCCACTAGGAATGTTCCTCATCTGTCACCAGGGAGCTGAGGGGGCCAGTGTAAATGGCTTGCCCACACACAGGGACACGAAGAGGATAGACAGCAGCGCATGGCAGCTTAATCCACAGGGCTCTGCCTCCCGGGGAAGAGGAGTATGAGGCTGGGGGTCGGGGGTGGGCAGCGGCAGCTCCAGACTTATTGCGAGGGGCCCTGTTCTTCCAGTCCCCGCACCGGAGAGGAATGAGTCAAAGCAAAGACCCCCTCTGAGTACTTCCTGGAACTGTACCTAGCACCCTCCCACCCTAGCCTGGGAGGAGCAGCTCCCCTCAAAGGGGTCTGTGGGGTGGAGGGCGGGGGCGAGAGCAATGGAGCGTTTTCTCCGCGGGTGACCTTCCTGATCTCCACGGCACAGGGACCCTAATGGCTCAGGGCAGACTGAATGAAGCCTTTGGAGAAACAGGGAAACTGTTTCCAAGGCAAAATGAAATGTGCTTAAAAAAATAAATAAGGTAATAAATAAACTGAATAACTCCTTAAAACCCTAAGGCAGAAACAAATGGGACACAATGAGGGAAAAGAAGAGAGGGCAGTGGAGGTGCCTTCCTGCCTGAGACCCACTGGGGCTGCTCTGGGGGCCCCGGGGCAGCTGGTCTGGGCCTTAGGGTGGCACAGAGGAAAAGGCCATTGCGGACACGGGAGATGCCACTCTGCCCTGGAAAGAACAATCTAATCAGCAGCAACAGTGATGCTCGTTATCAGTTTTCCCATGAGACTGGGAACCCTCAAAACTTGTAGCCCTCAATGTGAGAACCCTAAATCCAGAAGCTTTGGAAATCAGATTGACTCCAAAGCAAACCGTTTCAATGAGGCTTCTGCTCTAAAGACAGAAACAAATGCCCCCCTCCAAAAAAAGAAAAAGAAAAAAAAACACCAAAACAAACCTAATGGTAGAGACTCTGGAGTGCTTATTTGTTTTTTAAACCTTCTGTCCAGATTATACCCCTCTGCTAAATGCTGCAAAAAAAATATTTCAGTGACATTTGACTTTCAAAGATGTGGCTCTGAGATCTAGCCAATACCTAAGGGAAACTGCCTCTTCGAAGAGGAAGTAACAGGGGTGGAGAGAGAGTTCAGGGCTTAAGGCGCATGCCTTGCGTGTAAGCCGACTGGGATTCAATTCCCGGCACCGTGGTCCTCAGAGCACCGCTGGGAGCGATCCCCAAGCACAAAGCCGGGAGTAGCCCCCCCAAGCACCGCTTGGTGTGACTCCCAACAGAGAGAGAGAGAGAGAGAGAGAGAGAGAGAGAGAGAAAAGAGGAAGGGAGGGAAGGAGGGAGGGAGGGAGGGAGGGAGGGAGGGAGGGAGGGAGGGAGGAAGGAAGGAAGGAAGGAAGGAAGGAAGGAAGAGGAGTGATAAGGGCAGTTTTCTCCCTAGGGTTGGTCTCAACACACATTGATCACCACTTGACACAGCTTGGAATTTTTGCCGCAAGGGCAGACACAGAATTGGGGAGGGGCCGGAGCCGGCAAGGGGTTGAGTCCAACCAAGAGGGCTAAGCACACCCCTTCGAAGGCAGTGAGGGCTCCCAGCCCATGCTGGACACCATGAAGAGCCAGCAGGTGGGAACTTGGCAGTGGTGAGAGGCTGGGCAGTGCAATCTCTGCCCAGGAAACACGGTTCCTTCGTGGACCATGTGCTTTTCCCTCTTCTGGCACTTTTTCCAAGAGTGAAAGGAGATGGGGGCGACCTACACGCATCTGCAGTGAAAGGCTCTGGGAGAGGAGAGGAAAGCAGCACTCGGAGCAACAGACCTTGTGCCAAAAAACAAACGTGATTTCTAAGCAACAACACCCAACCTCACAGGAGGCCTTTGCCTGATGGGTTCCTGTACAGAGAGATGCTGCTGTTATCTGAAGCATGAAGAGCATGAGTCGGGGACCACAAGGGACGGGCACTCACACCAACCACCAGCAGAAGCCGAGAAGGGGAAAGAGCTACACGGGGTGGACAGTCAGGCATGCCAGGCAGGGCGGAGCGCCAGGCCCGCGCGCGCCCTTCTGAACGCTCGCTGGTCAAAGCAAGAGGCACCAGCTGGCAGCCTGCTCCGGCCGGGGCCCTCAGCTCGTGTAGTAGACGTGGAAGTAGAGAGTCTTGTTGCGCAGCAGGGAGTAGGAGTTGTCGAACTTGAGCAGGTAGATGCCCTCGCCGGGGTAGTCGTGGCTGCCGGCCTGCACGTTTCGGTGGCTGTCGCGCCGGTACACGGGCATCACCTCCCCATAGCGGCCCCGCAGGGAGCTCCGGGAGCCTCTCTCCACATCGCCAACCGGGACGGTGTCTGCGTGGGCAAAAGAGTAACGTCTTGGGACATGACCTCTGAGACCGCATGAGGCCAGAGCCAGTGAGAGGGTGGCCCATGGCTGTCCCCTTCCTGGGGGTGTGCTGGCTCTCCCCCAGACACTGGGAAATGCCAACTGGCCCCGGAGCCATCTGTGTGAGCACTGGATGATGCTGGCTGCTGGGGGCGAGCTTCCCTATCTCTCAGTAGAGGACAGGCTCCACAAAGAATCCAGCACCCCAAATGCCAAGCACGCTCTGCCCAGAAACCCTGGTGGTCACAGAGTCTTCTGAGTTGGAAAAGGGTTTGCACAGGTCCAGGGGGAAGAAAGATATTCTGGAGAGAAGATTCTGAAAGACTTCTCTCACCAGGTGAGCTGATTGGGGTAGGGGATGCAGAGAAGCAGGTGTTAGACCAAGGGGCCTAGTTCTGCCCACGGGCCTCCTACTGAAACAGAAACAGAGACCTCAGATTCTAAGGCTTCTGGCAGACTTGTTTTCCCCGGCTAAGGGAACACGGTGAGACTATATAGAAAAATCCAGGAACGAGACATGTGCATTCTAAATCAAGGCTGTGTTAGCCTTTGCTTGCAAAGTCCTATGGGTCCCTGCGCACGCACGATAGCAACAGCTGGCTGGCATGCAGGAACCATTTTTAAAACTTCTCTGGATATGTGGTAAAGAAGCTGTCAGCCAGCTGAGCGAGTATAGAGTACAAAGAGAATGGACACGGAGGAGTCAGGTGTGAACACCGTTTGTTTCCAGACCGGGAAGAAACGTCAGCTTAGGACCTTCTGTGATCTGAAAAATACTGGCCCTCTGCAAGGAGTACTCACGCTCCTCTCCTGCCCCCCGCCCCCAATCCAGTTGGGGTACTGATGAGAAAGAACAGAGGCCTTCCCCGGGGTGCCTATCCCAACCCCAGCAGAATGTTCTCTGAGAACAGCTTTGGCCTGCCTCAGCCGCTCCACCTGCAGTGCTGGGAGGGGCCTTCAGCTGCACTGAAGGAAGACCTGGTAGGACACTGGAACTGACCACTCGACACTAGGTGTGACCAGGAAAGAAAAGTTCAACTGAAGTGAAAATGAGAGTTACCTTCAATCTCCTCCTCCTCTTCCTCATCTTCATCCTCATCCTCACTGGAATCACTGACCTGCACGGTTATGTCAGTGCTGGTCACGGGAGTCCAGTCAAAATAGACCCCAAAGCCAATGTCATAGTCATCAGTGGCAAACTCCCAGCAGACTCGCTTCCCCTCTGGGTGGGTGGGCACCCGGATGGTCACCACCTCACCCCGCTTCACCACCAGACGGCTGTTCTTTTCTCTGCCCAGCTTGTTCTTGAATTCCTTCAGCTTGGCGAAGGTCCAGATGCACGGAGGTGCCATCAGAGGCGGGGCCACTGAAAGGACAGGCAGATGAGTCCGAGAAGCCCAGCAGCCCTCCACCTGTCCTTCCTTCTGCCTCTTTCCCTTTCCACAGCCCTTCCTCCTTGCCTTCCCTCTGCCTGCCGGCCGGGCTTTTCTCTAACTTCACACTGGGAACAAAAACTTAACGTCCCGCTTCCCACTCCCCGCAAAAGGTCTCACCTTTCCTGTGGTCGCCCAGAAGGTCTGCAGATTCCAGATCAGCGGAGAGAATGTCGATGGTTCCCGTGTGCTCAGACTGGATCATAACGATGTCCCCAGCTCTCTGTATTACGTGGTACTGGGCCATCTGCACATCAGTTTGGGTGAAGGGAGGGAATAAAACAAACAAACAAAAAATGCCTCTTATAGCAACAGACTGGTGGGTGGGAGGCAAGTGGGGATTTGGGGGGCACTGGTGAAGGGATCAGTGTTGAAACACGGTATGCCTGAAACCCAATCATGAATAACTGTAATTTCATGGTGACTAAATAAAAAGAAATACATTTTTAAAAATCAAGGAGGAGGCTGAACAGCAGAGGCCCAGTGGCCTCTTTGCAAAGGGATGTCTGTCAGGCCCTGTGCTCGCCCCCATCGCCCTCCCACCCCCAAGCCTACTCAACACGCCTTCCTCCCCCGAGCACAGGTTGCTCACCCTTTTGAACTTGGTTTTAAATGCCACCAGAGCCTTTTTCTAGTTTAAAAAAAATTTTTTTTGTTCTCACCAACCTTGGCAACTCCCCCACTCCAGACCTCAGTAAATCCCTGCCTGAGAGCATTATTTAAGCTACCCTGGTGTCAGTGGTGCTCTTGGCCATCCAGAGGGTCCCCAGCCTGCATGCCCTCCCAGTGCCTTCCCTCACGGCAGCTACATGTTTTTTTTTTTTTAACACCATGAGGTACAGTTGTAGATTTACAATTTTTTGTCTTGGGTTTCGATTATACAATGATCAGATACCCATCCCTCCACCAGTGTGCTACATGTTTTTTTTTTTTTTTGCTCAGCTCCCACCCAAGGTGGGACCAGGGAGAGCTCAACAGGCTGAAGCAATATGCTTCGCAGGCAGGAGGCCGGGGTTTGATCTCCAGTGCCACACTGTCCTTCGAGCACTTGCAGGAGAGATCCCTGAGCACTGAGTTGGGAGTAGTGCCTGAACACCACCAGCTGTGACCACCCACGGTCACGGTCCTCCCATTGTTCATCGATTTGCTCGAGCGGGCCCAGTAACATCTCCATCATGAGACTTGTTACTGTGTTTGGCATATCGAATATGTCACGGGTAGCTTGCCAGTCTTTGCTGTGCAGGCGAGATACTCTTGGTAGCTTGCCGGGCTCTCCGAGAGGGGCGGAGGAATCGAACTCGGGTCGGCCATGTTGGCCACTTGTAAGGCAAACGTCCTACCGCTGTGCTATCACTCCAGCCCACCCAAACCAAAAAATAAATTTCACTCAGGGGTTACCTCCAGATCACTGTTAATTTGCCAAAGCATTGTAGAGAGAGAACAGGCTGTGTCTTTTCTCTCACTCTTTCCTGACTCCCCTAGGATGGCTCATCCTACAGACTGTTCCACTCACCAGCGCTGTCCAAGAAGCAACCGTTAGTGCCCCTTCGCCCAGCCAGAAGGTGTGCATTGGAAAAATGTGTCTGCTGCAGGCTGCTAATCTGCAGAGAATACACACGCCCCTTGGTTCTCCAAGTCCTCCCTAACCTGCGGCAGGGGCCTGAAATCTCCCCCTTGTGGGTTTCACTCCATGTCACTCGGGCTACTGCCCCCGTTTCACGCAGTGAAGCCTACATTTTCTTCTCGTTCTCTGAGCGTTCAGTGGGCAACTCAAGCAGAAGGGAACACCCACCGCCCACATGGAGAGCACAACAGGGAGCCGGCAGTCCAGCCCAGAGGCAGGAGCTGTATTTGCAAGAAAGCAACAGAAATAAATGTCGTCACCTTCCAGATTACGTCCTCATAATGTTTGTTTCTGGGAAGTAAGTTTTCCTGAGTTGTTTTTTTTCTGGGGGGGCACACCTATAGGTGCTCAGGAGACCATATGTGGTGCCAGTAACCGAACCAGGGATGGCCATGTGTGAGGAAAGTGCCCTAGCCTCAACTATTTCCCATGTTCCCCACCCCCATGCCCCACCCCCAGTTTTTAATTTGATGAGGCGAATCAGACTTTGGCTAACTTGCTTATATGACTCCTTCCTTTTCCAGAAGTCGAACCAAAGGATTTAATTTGCAAACCAAACCCTGGTGAAGCTAGGAATAACTCTTAGTTTCTGTTTCCTCATCTGGAAAGTGGGGACACAATGGAACCTATCTCACTGGGTTGTTCTAAAGAGTAAATTAAACAGAGAGCTCTAGGTAAAAATGCCTGGTCAACTATAAAGCTTTACACAAACATAATTATAATGCTTGGCATTATCTTCAGTTTTCAATAACATAAGATTGAAGTCAATAATGAGACAGATAACCCATCCTCCTCAAGGACACTGCCATCAGCACAGCGTCTAAACCCACATTACCATAAGTGTGAACGTCTGTCTAGTCCACGTTACTGTGAATAACGGATGAACCACAGGCACAATGAGACTAGAACAAAGACCGGGGGTTGAAGGCACACGCACAGGCCCTCCGGCAACAGGTGAGCGTTCATTCCAACCCTTCACTTTCTGCATGGGAGCCGAGTAGGTGCTGGGACGGCGAGGGGGGATGTAAATGATCACTCTCCAAATAATGCCACGAGGCGCCTGAATGAGAGCAAGGAGCATCCGCCCTCATAGTGCTTTGCAAATCTCTTCGCAACTGCACACAGGGGAAGGTCCTGGGCCCGCAGATGCCTCCCTGCCCCCCCCCCCGCCCCCGTCTCCCCCCACAGGTGGTGAAGGCCGGGCATGTGCTCCCTACCTGGTTGAGGACCTGGGCCTGGTCTGCCGGAAGCAGTTCCTCTTCCACCAAGTCCTCAGCCTCCAAGGCACTGGCTGCTTTCTGCAGTTCTTCTGCGGCATCCTCACCCTCTGGAGACACCATCTGTGGCCTCTCAGAGGAAGACAAAGTGTCAGTGCCGGGACTCTTGATGTTTGGGTGGGGGGGGGGGGGGGAGAGGAATGGGCCTAGGGTCCACTCCCAGCAATACTCAGGCCTGTTTTGTGGGCCAAACGAATCAGGGCTCAGACTCAGTGGTGCTGGGGTCATCAGGGCCAGCCCAGCAGTGCTGAGAATCTGCAGGGACTCTTAACAAAGGTAAAACGGTCCCAGAGAAGCTCAACTGACATCTGCCTCGAGCAGAATGGGCTCACCACGACACACAACTAAGAGTGCCACAAGTGTGGCTGCATTTGTGGTCACACCACACTTCATAGCACATCCCCTACCCATACTCCACATGAGTACTACACCACATTTGATGGGACTCAAAGTAGGAGGCAACCAATCTTAGAGGTAAATATTTTTTTAACAGATATATATAGAAGCACACAAGGCCAAGAGCACAGGACCTCAGACTTTCTGGAAACACATCATCAACAGAAGGCAGAGTGGGGCCTTCAGAGCAGAGATGTGGAGGGCACTACGTCCCTTTCAGGGGATTCTGCTACGTCTAACTTTCTTTAGCAACACATCCTCATAATAATTCTAAATTATCATTGGCTTTCTCCATTTTTCCTTCCTTCTTCTCTTGGAAAAATAGCAAAAAAAAAAAAATCACCCCTCATTGATAATTACTTTTTTTTTCTTTTTGGGTCACAACTGGCGATGCACAGGGGTTACTCCTGGCTCTGCACTCAGGACTTACTTCTGGCAGTGCTCGGGGGACCATATATGATGCTGGGAATTGAACTCGGGTCAGCTGCATGAAAGGCAAATGCCCAACCCGCTGTGCTATTGCTCGAGCTCCTATAATTACCTCTTTCTCAGCTGAAGCCATCTTTTGAAGTAGAACAGCCAAGTCACTCCAAACTACTTCAGTATTATGAGATAGTTACTACTTGGGGCCAGAGTGATAGCAGGTAGGGCATTTGCCTTATATGTGGCTGACACAGGTTCAATCCCTGGCACCCCATATTGTCCCCCGAGCCTGCCAGTAGTGATCCATGAGCACAGAGGTAAGAGTAAGCCCTGAGCACAGTTAGGTGTGGCCCCCCAAACAAACAAGCAAACAAATAGAAAAAGAGTTACTATAAAAAAAAATCAGATCTGGGGCTGGAACGATAGTACAGTGGATAAGGTGCTTGCCTTGTAAGTGGCTGACCTAGGTTCCATTGTAGCACCCCATGGTCCCCTGGCCTGCCAGGAGTGATCCCTGAGCACAGAGCCGGAGTAAACCCTGAGCATCACTGGATGTGGCATGAAAGAAAAATATAAATAATCTTTTTAAAAGTCAGATACTGATAAGTTAGGGAAGGGAATACTAGATACTAGGACAATTACAGAGTGGAAATGTGTTTTCCAGGCAGACTGGGAGCAGGAGGGAAATGGGGATTGGTGGAGGATAGAGAGTAGCAGACACCATTGAAGATACTAATGTTTGAACAATGTAGGCCTGAAATTTAGTCACAAATATCTTTGTAACTTTGTAATTTATGGTGAGTCACTGCAACACTGTCCTCCTATTGTTCATCAATTTGCTCAAGTGGGCACCGGTAATGTCCCCATTGTGAGACTTGTTGTTACTGTTTTTGGCATATGGAATAGCCAAGGGAAGCTTGCCAGGCTTTGCTGTGTGGGCGGGATACTCTCGATAGCTTGCCAGGCTTTCTGAGAGGGACGGTGGAATCAAACTCGGGTTGGCTGCGTGCAAGGCAAACATCCTGCCCGCTGTGGTATCGCTCCAGTCCATGGTGATCAATAAAAAATAAATTAAAAAAAAAGAAAAAAGTTAGATCTGTGAGTAAATTTATTTTTCTGTAATCCTGTGTATTACACAGGATTCCTCCTCCTCTTATTTTGGAAGGGGGGGGTGTGCAGACACCCAGGGCTTATTCCTGCTCAGGGATCATTCCTGCAGGGGAACCGGAATTTGGGGATCCAGGAATTGAACCTGTGTTGACCATCTATCCACTGTATACTATCACTCCAGCCCCAGGATTCCTCTTCTCCTTTTTAATTTTTGGGCACATCCAGCAGCGCTCAGGGGCTACATAAGTCTCCCAGCACTATTTAAGGAACTATGGGGTGTTGGGGGTTGGACTGGGGCCTCCTGCAGACAAAGCTTGTGCTCCAGCCCATTAAACTACCTCCCGGTCCCAGTACACTATCGTTTTCTACCTGGTAACTATGTCCACTTTTACAGTCCTGACATGGTATCTTTCTCTTTGTGGCCTCCTAACAGAGGGTGGGTGGGCGGCAAAGTATGGTCTTCCTCCTACACAGCATCCAGAGTGGACCTCTCACCCTGAACCCTAATTTCTTTCACACTCTGACCTCAACTCACGTCCCCCAGCTTACTCCCTCCAAATCTACTAGATGTGCCCCCCCCCACTGTTGCCCGAGGGGAAAACTAAGAAACTGAAGAATCATTAGGGACTTTCTTTTAGCTCTCGCTGGCAGACAATTGGGACCCCAAGTGAGAAACTAAGATTCATGGCTATTTCTCTCCGCCTCTTACACATACCCAAGGTCCTTACACAGACCCAAGGCTGAGGCATTCAAGTTCCCTTTTCTGTGTAAAGGAGTATTTTCCTTGTTAACCTCGTCACTGAAGGTACAGGGAGGTATACGGTTAAGTTATCCTGGACATTTCTGCTTTCTTGGTACTTAGGTAAGATGACAATCTGTCCTACACATGATGGCACTCAAAGTCCATGCCAAGGTCACAAAGTATCATGCCGGTGGTCACTTGTTTCCCACTGTATGATGCTACCCCTAACCCCTATTAGACCATAAGGCAAAGGAGACCAGGGCTTGGATTCTTTGTGGTAGCTTCACTGCCTAGAAATGAGTTCTAAGCTAATACTTTCTGAATGGATACCTAATAAATACACGATGAGCAAATAGATGACAAACTGGCAGGCTACCGAATGTAGCCTGCCCACACGGCAGAGTCTGGCAAACTCCCCGTGGCGTACCAAATATGCCAAATACCAGTAACAATGATGGGTCTCATTCTCCTAAAGAGCCTTGAATATAATCTCAGGGCTAGGACGAAGGAGACGTTACTGGGGCCTGCTCGAGGCAATCGACGAATAACAGGATGATCTGTGATCTGTGAGCAAATAAATGAATAAGGTTTGTTTTAGAACAAAAGGGAGATTTGGGATCTGACTACCACTCACAAAATATGGAATGTGAGAATTTTACAGTTAGCCCTGTCTACTGGGTGGCAACAATGTAGCCCCTGCTTTGCAGTGGACATGCTACTCTGCACAGATATGGTCTTGCTTATGAACCTAGTTTTTTTAAAACAGGATACACAACAGACACATAAATGTAATATTCTCATTAGCATTTTATGCTCTGAAGAATTAGGGCAGGGTATTTTGGGAAGGATCAACTTCAAATCATTTGATGCTAAAGATAAGCCACGGAAAGGAAAAATCCCACTACGAGCGTTCTGGTGCTTGCTAACACTGGAGGCAAGGTGGGGGAGGGTGCCCGGAGGGAGGTACACAAGGCCAGGGAGAGGGAAGGCTGGCTGGCCAGCCCAGGGGACCAGAGCTGTGCCGTTCCATCTCCATATCCAGTACGCAAAACACAACAGCAATATTCTGCCCGCCACCATCGCTGTGTTTCTTTCCTGTGCATGCTAGATTCTAGAAACGAAACTTTAAAATAAACCCCTTTTCGATTCAAAAATGCTCTACGTTCCTCGCGTAAAAAATGTCTTTACTCAGGAAAACAGAAAGTGGTTCTGTGCCAAATTCATCCCCCAAGAGTCTTCAGATCAACAAGCACAGAAAAACAGTTGTGGTAGGAAGATGGAGATGTGTTCTCAGGAGACAGACCATCTCAGGGGATGAGAACTTGCATTGGGATTTTAATCATCGTAATTCAGGAAGGGGAGTGTTTTCTTCAATACCCAAGAGTAAAAAGAGGAAACTTATACTCAAAGAGCAATACCTTTAAACTTTTTTTTTTTTTTTTTGGTTTAACTTCTTGCTTAGTTGTTGATCTGGAGTCGCACCCAGCAGTGCTAAAGGCTCCCCCCAGACTGCACTTGACAGTCACTCCAGCACTGCTTAGAGACCATGTGGTGCCAGGACACCGTATGCAAAGCATGTCTCAGTCTGCTGCACAATGCCTCTGGTCCCTAGATATTTTTTACATCTTGACATTTCTTCCCAGACACAGCTATTAACTTTGTGAGGGACATAAACTCCAGTTCTGGACAATACTGCACTGTGTGCTAATCAGCTGGACTATTTTTTTTTTAAATTTTCATTAGTGAAACACCGTGAGGTACAGCTGTTGTAGACTTACAAGTTTTGGTGCTTGGGTTTCAATTATACCATGATCGAGTACCCATCCCTCCACCAGTGCCCATTTTCCACCACCATTGATCTCAGTATCCCTTCCACCCCCCATCCCCCCTGCCTCTGTGGTAGGGCATTCCCCTTTGTTCTCTCTCTCCTTTTGGGTGCTGGGGTTTACATTGAGTGGCAATCACGTTTGGGCTATAGTCTACTTTCAGCATGCATCTCCCATTCTGGGAGGATCCTCCCAACACCTTTATTTGGTGCTCCCTTCTCTATCTGAGCTGCATTTTCCACTAGCATGTGCAGCTGGCCTCCAAGCCATAGAGTGAACCTGCTGGTACTTATCTCGGCTATTCCTGGGTGTTAGTCTCCTATTTTGTTACTTTATGTTCCCCAGATGAATGCAATCTTTCTATGTCTGTCTCTCTCTTTCTGACTCATTTCCCTTGGCATGATACTTTCCATGTAGTACCACTTGTATGTAAATTTCATGACTTCATCTTTTCTAACAGCTGCATAGTACTCCACTGTGTAGATGTACCAAAGTTTCTTTAAACAGTCATCTGTTCTTGGGCACTCAGGTTTTTTCCAGATTCTGGATACTGTAAACAGTGCTGCAATGAACAAACAAGTGCAGATGTCACTACGGCTATACTTTTTTGCCTCTCTGGGATATATTCCCAGAAGTGGTATGCTGAGTCAAATGGGAGCTCAATTTCTAATTTTTTGAGAATCGACCATACTGTTTTCCAATAGGGCTGAGCCTGTCGGCATTCCCACCAGCAGTGAAGGAGGGTCCCTTTCTCGCCACACCCGCGCCAACATCAGTTGCTTTTGTTCTTTTGGATGTGGGCCAGTCTCTGTGGTGTGAGATTATATCTCATTGATGTTTTGATCTGCATCTCCCTGATGATTTATGATGTAGAACATTTTCTCATGTGCCTTTTTGTCAGCTGGACTCTTAATATCCACAAGCTCGGGGCTCTCCAGGACGTAATTTTTTAAATTAGTTCTACCATTAATATTTCATGGTTTCCACTGATTATTCCCTTTCTGCTATACACTTTGGTATCAAATTAAGAAAGATAACCTGAGGGGGGGAGGGTTTCATCACAATAGTCTAATCTGAAAATCATATAATTAAAAAAAAAATCTGATAGAGCTTTTGTGTACCTATGTACCATCATGTGTGCACATGTTGTATGGGCAAAAACACAAACATACATCCTCTTGTTGACCTGGGATTCACTTCAAATGTCTTAACAGTTGAGCCTGGTCTTTAGAAGATAAATGAAGATACTACATGCTTTGTTATAGTTTTGTGTCCTAAGAATGAAAGAAAAGCATTTTTGCAGTGCTAGGGATTGAATATAGGGCCTCATACTGCAAAGCGAGTGCTCTATTGCTGAGCTATACCCCCAACCCATAAGAGAAAATGTACAGATCTGACACTGGGCCCTAAATACACGGAATGGCTGATAAATCCCTGAATAAAACTATCCACAAGCTTCACATCAATTTCTGCCTTAATGCCTCCCAGTGCTACTTCTTTCCCCAGCTCCCATCAGGAGACAGACCCTTTACAAGCATTTCATCCAAAGCAGTCACTGTCCCTACCTGTAGGGTGATGAACCAGGCTCAGAATCAGAGGCTGAAGCTCCCGAAGAGGCCAGCTTGGAGTTCTCTAGATCTCCATTCTCTAGAAAGTCATGGAAAGAAAGAAAAAAAATCAGTAACTGAAAGGAAAACCAATCAATCATAATGCATCTCTTGAAAAATCTGGCAGTTGTAACAAACTTTCTCTTTCCAAAAATATTCTGGGCATAAACTTTATACTCAGAGCGGTCCAGTCATAAATTATTTTAGCCTTCACATCCAAGACTTCTCAGAGTCAAAACTCATTCGTTAAAAATCAGCCTGTTCCCAAAATAAGCCTCCATAGAATTCATCCCAATTCAAGAATCATATTTTTCAAAAAAGCAAATGGCGTCAGAAGAGAGAGGGGAGACTGGGATCGGGGGTAAAATAAATGGGCCTCCAGTGCCCCAACTCTACATCCAACACACTCACATCACTATATCTGGGGTCAGGGACATGGTTTTTGGTTTCTTTCTTTTGGGGGCAGAGGATGCCTCCCAAGCAGTGTTCAGGGGGCCTGGGGCCACTCCCAAGGAAATACGGCCCACTGGGCTGGTGGCTCAATGTGATGGCCTGAGGATGTGGTGCTGCTCTGGCCCACTAGGGCCACTCTGGTGGTGTTCGGGGAACCACATCAGGCAGAGCCTGATGGCTCCAAGGGCTACATCTGGCGATGCTCAGGGACCAAGCGGTGCCAGAGACAAAACCAAGGTCAGCAGAGCCCCTGTACTGTCTCCTTGCCCAAGAATTTCCCTTCATTTCATTTATTTGCTCCTTCATTCATTCCCAGTGATTTACTGAGTAAATGGTAGGTGCCCTCACAGCAGAAAGAGTGTGACAGGCAGAGCGAAGCAAAGTCATAGGTAGCGTGAGACTGCCATTTGGTAAGGAAGAAAACCAAGGCACAGGACAGTGCTCACCAGCACCCAGCACGTTGGATAAAGCCTATTCAGGGGGCTCAAGTGACAGCATAGTGGGTAGGGCGCTTGCCTTGCATGCATCCCCACTGGGTTCAATCCCTGCCACCACATATGGTCTCCTGAACCCTGCCAGGAGTGGTCCCTGAGTGCAGAGGCAGCAGTAAGCCCTGAACACTGCTGGGTATGGCACCCAAACAAAAAAACACTAACAACAATAAAGCCAACAAAGGTGGCCCTACCCTTAATCACAGGTGTAATGAAGTTTGGTGGTCCACCTGTTTACTTTTCTTCTTTGCAGTCAGGGATGGAACTCAGGGCCTCACACGTGCAGGGCAAGTGCTCTACTGCTGAGCCATATCCCTGGTCCTCTTTCAGCCTTTTCTCGAGCTCTCAGGAAAGCACATGGTTTGGAGTACCTAGTCTGACCTCTTCTGGTTAAGACAGCAAGAAACTGAAAAACATAGCCCACATCTCAATACCAAATGAGGCCATAAGTTTCTAACATGAAAGCAGTTCAGCAGCAATTTAAGTGTAAAGATGGCAGGTAAATATTTGCAATCTAGAATTAATTCAGTCTCATTTGATTGGTATGTGAATAGAATCTATTTTTTTTTTTTATCATTTCACACTCTCAGAGGCAGGCAGAAAGAGCTTAGAGCTTAAGCCACCAAACTTTCTTTTTTTTACAAGTTTTTGAGCCACACCCAACAGTGCTCAGAGCGTACTCCTGGCTCTTTGCTCAGGGATCATTCCTGGTGGTGCTAGACAGACTGTATGGGGTGCTGGGGATCCAACCCGAGTCAGCCACATGCAAGGCAAGAGCCTACCCACTGAAAAAGAGCCCCAACTCCCCTTCCTCCCTCCCTCCCTTCTCAATATTGGGAATTAAACCCAATGCCTCATACACATCGAGCAAGTACTTTCTGCTGAGCGAATTTTCCTCATATGCTATATAGATAGGATAAGTAGAATCCAGATATGTTATATCTGGGCCAGGGAGATGGCTCAAAGAACAGTAGTGCCTGCAATGCTAGTGGGAGTCCAAGTTCAAACCTGCATGGTCTCCCAGCATCTCTGGGAGGAAACCCCAATCACTGCACTGGGGTATCCCCTGAGCACTGCTGAGTGGGGGCCCCAGATAGTAAGAGTTATAGCTACAGAGACACGCATAAGTTGGTCTCTGTGCCTAGTTCCTGGATCAGACTCCCAAGTCCCTTGTCTGCTCCTAAGTGCCAAAAGCATTTGCGAGGCTTGAAATAGAGTAAATGGCGTATCAGGCTGGATAAAGTGTTAGAACCTGAGCTTCACCGAAGTAAAGTTTGATCCATGCAGCCCAAATGGGTGAGAGAATGAATGAATGAGAGCCGCAGGAGATCTGCTCTGTTATCTAGTTGTTTTTTTTTAAATACACATTTATTTATTTATTTACTTATTTTGCTTTTTGGGTCACAGCTGACGATGCTCAGGGGTTCCTCCTGGATCTGCACTCAGGAATCACTCCTGGCGGTACTCGGGGGACCATATGGGATGTCGGGGATAGAACCCGGGTAGGCCACATGCAAGGCAAACGCCCTACCCGCTGTGCTATCACTCTGGCTCCCTGTTATCTAGTTTTTGACCTGCTAGACAGATCAGCTAGTTTTGCTATCTAGTTCCCACCACGGAAGTCCTAAACTGGATAACAACAGTGTCCCTTGTTCTGATTTGATGAATCAGTGAGCTCCTGGACCCCTCTCATCTTTAGAAAGACCAAGCCATGACAAGACACGGAAATTCTCAGCCCTACCTCCCACTCTCCAGAGAGGGGAGAGAAGTGAGGGCTGGAAATGAAGTGATTAATCCATGAGGTTGGACAAAATCTCTACAAAATCTCTGAAGTACGGAACTGAGAAAACTTGTAGGTTGGTGAACATATCTAGATCCCAGGAGTCGATACACTCCAACTCCCTGGGGACAAAAGCCCCTATATCTCTGGTCCCTCCTGGACCTTACCCTGGGACCCAACTGCCTGTTCTCCCCTTTACTTTAATCTGAGATAAGTTACTAAGTGCAAGCAGCTGTTTCCCCATGTTCTGTGAGTTGTTTTAGCAAATAACTGGAACCAGGAGGCAGAGGTCCTGGGAACGTGCCGTCTGCAGCCCCGGGGACAGCAGTGAGCGCAGCCTGAGGCCTACCATTGGCAATGGGCAGCTCCAGCATGGGGAGGGTTTGGTGGGAATAAGCCTCCACCTATTGGGTTAGGTGCTATCGTCAGCCAGCCACGACCCACCCGCTGGAGCTGCAGCTGCAGTGGCGGGGAAACCACAAAAGGGGTGTGAGAACAAAGGTGGAGCGCAAGGGCCTGGGCCTGGGGCTCTGGGAGGGTGCCTGCCTGGCACCGCCCCACAGGCAAAGAGATCCTGGAGGTGCTGCTGTTTGGAGCCCCAGCACCAGTTAAAGTGTGTGACCTCTCACATACCACAACAAGGGCGTGACAGCCCCCCCGTGGCCGTGCTCCCCTCCCCCCCTCGCCCTCTGCAAGCCTTGCAACCCAAGCCACTCAAGGACACAACCAAGGAGACCTCTGGGAGCAATACCAACAAGCGTGTGAGCACAATTAAAGTGTGTGGCGACCCTGTGAACAGCGCAGCGCAGGAGAGGGACAAGGAAACGGGTAGGTATGTAAGGGGAAACAATGGAAGGACAGACAGAGCAGGAGAAAGACAAGTAGAAACACAGAAGGACGACTGAGGTTTGCTTCACACCTCTCAACCAAATCTTTTCCGGTTTGTTTTGGGGGCCACATCCAGCAGGCGCTCAGGCCTTACTCCTCGCGCTATGCTCAGGGCTCAATCCTGGCAGGGTCTGGGGGACAACATGGGGTGCTAGGGGTCAAATCTGGGTCGACGGAGTGCAAAACAAGCTCCCAACCCACTGGGCCATTTCTACACCTCTCAACCAAGTTTAAGAGCATCATCAGATGTGCGCCTGGCACACAGAAGTTTCTTGCACGGAAGGATGAAGAACAGGGAAAGATGGTTCTTAGGCCTTAGGCAGAACTAAGCAAACCTGTTCCTCGTCAGTTCTACTATGGATCTCTGCTCCAGCATTTTTTTTCCCTTCCCCTTTTGGGTCACACCCGGCGATTTTCATTTTTTCATTTCATCATCCTGTTATTCGTCGATTGCCTCGAGCAGGCCCCAGTAACGTCTCTTTCATCCTAGCCCTGAGATTATATTCAAGGCTATTTAGGAGAAAGAGACCCTTCATTGTTACTGGTATCTGGCATATTTGGTACGCCACGGGGAGTTTGCCAGACTCTGCCCTGTGGGCAGGCTACATTCGATAGCCTGCAAGTTTTTCCAAAGTAGTAATGAGACAATAAGATTTCATAAAAAAAAGCACACCCGGCGATGCTCAGGGGTTACTCCTGGCTTTGGACTCAGGAATTACTCCTGGCGGTGCTCAGGGGACCATATGGGATGCTGGGAATCAAACCCAGGTCGGCTGCGTGCAAGGCAAATGCCCTACCCGCTGTGCTATTGCTCCAGTGCTGCTCCAGCATTCTTTCCAACAGTTACAGCCTGTCATCACCGTTGCTGCCAGCCTCTTCCCATCAGACCAGCTCCTGCTCTGCTCTCCTCAAGCCTTGGCTCACCCTGCTGGCCTCGTTTCGTTGTTCCACTCAGTTCCATTTAAAGTCAGGCGCTTAAACGGACCGCTTTTGCAGATGTGCTCTAATCCATGTAGAACACAGCGAGACAATAATCTCTTAACAAGGACACAATATCTTTTGGCATAAATAATACCCTAACCAGGCACGAGATGAATTAAACTGCAAATTTACCCGGTTGGCCTAAATAAGTCAATCAAGATTTCCCAGAGCTTATAAAAATAAACTTATTCTAAGCTCAGGCTCTCCTATGCTCTATTTTTAAAACACACTTCTGGAAAATAATTGACTCTTATAAAACTCAACTATAGGACTTTACATCTCCATGGTAGTTATCTTAATCTTTTGAAATTATACTAATACATGCTTCACTCATTGTTAAACAATTTAAATAAGAATAAAGAGAACATTCTGCATTTACACTTCCAGACATTAGTATACAAACACCCAATTATCGGACTGGAGAGATAGTACAGGGGTTAAGGTGCT